GGACAACTGGCCAACCAGAGAGGCAGACAGATAAATGGGCAACCGGCCAATCAGTCATAAGTCAGTTCAGTGTCATCGGAGGCCAAATCTGAGACTTTAGATCATCCAGACCTTTTAGTCTTTTAGGACCAGCTTAAAGTTCTTGAAGCATCTGGTTTGTTTGTTTCTGGCGTCGGAGGTAAACACAGCTGTGGAACCCTGTGGAACATGACTAACTCCTCACCAGTCAGACATGAACTAACTGATGACTATGATTTAAACCTGCCTGGAGCAGTTTTATTTATGATAATAATAATAACAGAGTTCTACACTTCAGCAGGGTCTGGGTTCTTCATCAGGCGGTCTGTTCTCTGGTTCTCCATCATGGTGGCAGCAGAGCCGAGGGTCTGTAGCTGCTGCATTCGAGGCTGCCATGTTACAAGACAATAAATAGTTTGAGGGCGTCAGGACTCAGGTGGCACATCTGAACAACACACACCTGTGCATCACTCGTGTGTGTTGCCATGACAGCAGATGATGAATGGCATTATTAGGACAATAACAACAGCGCTGGCACCACGGCGACGGCCAACCAGAGCGCGGCCACAGACGGCCGTCCCTGGGCAAACATGGCCGACACCGCCGCCAGATGTTACACCAGGAATGTGTGTGTGTGTGCGTGTGCGTGTGCGTGTGCGTGTGCGTGTGCGCGTGTGTGTGGAGGCCCGAGGCAGTTTGTCAGCTGCAGGGCTGAGAGGCAGATTGTGTTGGCACGAGGCTGAGACACACACACACACACACACACACACACACACACACACACATAGCTTTTGTTTCCAGGTCGACTTGTCCACGTTGTGTGTGTATGTGTGTGTGTGTGTGTGTGTGTGTGTTGCTGTGAGGACCTTCCTGCTCTAATATAAAGTCTCAGGTTAAAGTGATTCATTCTTTGTTGCAGCTTCTTTCACGCAAACCACAGTGACAGAGACTCGGTACCAGATCAGTCCACAGGTCCGACAGAACATCCACTGAGTTCATATAAAACTGAATCTCGCAGCAGATGAACAAGTGTTTGTGTCCTAAACACGGAAAACTCTGTCACAGTTGATGATAATCAAACTTATATTTTACCAGCAGTTAAACAAAAACGTCCTGACAGCTGTGATGGAGTTCAGGACTCACCTGTAGCTGCTGACTTACCTGATAAACAGTGACTGTGTGACAGCTCACCTGTCTGAGGTGAACTAAAGTCACAGCTGCTGTTAGATCTGATCGTCCTGTCTGTATTACTGGGGGTTCACAATGAATTCAATGACACATAACGAAATGCAAAACGACCACAAACAACACAAAGTGAAGATGACACGACAGGAAAATGACACAGAATGTCACAAACCACTAAAAACACACATGAACTGTCCACAAAGGCTGGAAAAGGCCAGAATGAGGCTCCTGCAGTGAATGTGAGCTTCTCTCTCCTGTGGATCCTGCTGATGTCTGATGCTGCAGATTTTTAATAAACTCAGAGGAACGACTCCTGAACAGCTGGAAGCAACTAGCTCTAGCTGTGCCGCTGCAGGTCAGACTCAGTCCGACCTCGTCAGATCGCCGTCACCACTTTTCCAGAAAAGTGTTTATTCAGAGTTGAAGCCGACGTGTTGAGATGAGCTGGATGGAGGCCTGCAGGGGGCGCTGCAGTGGCTCTAAACACACACTTACATCTGTATTTAATGTCTGTACCACAGTTTCGTTGTCACCAACGGTGACTCGTCTCGCAGCGGGACCCTCCACTTCACCATCGAGCTCGGCGACCGCATCCCTCCGACCCTCCACCGCAACACCGGCCTCCAGCTGCAGGACGGTACCACGGCGACCATCACCGCCGACCAGCTGCAGCTCACCGACCCCGACAGCGCCACCGTCAACCTGAGCTACGTCATCACCGAGCTGCCGCAGTACGGAAAGCTGCTGCTGGGCGGGGCCCCGCTGGCTCCGCCCCTCAGGTTCCTCCAGACCGACGTGGACCAGATGAACCTGGCTTACCGGCACGACCCGAGCAGCCCGGCCCACATCGACAGGTTCTACTTTGTACCAAGTGACGGAACCAACAGAGGATACCTGGAGTTTGGACAGCTGAGGGAGGAGCCGGCAGTGTTTAACATCCAGGTGAGCCACAAACACAGCACACCTGTTCAGGTAACTGTAAGACTGACTGTGTGTGTATAAATGTATATTTGTATATTTATCTATTCATCCTGTCACCTCGACTAAAGAACAGAACACAATCAACTGGACTACTTTAACCTGAATAGAAAATGTTTAGAGCGCTTCACAGAACGGTCCTCATGCAGATGCAGGTCACATGTCACCACCAGGTGTGTGCAGAGGATGCAGGTACAGACCTCAGGTGTGAACAATTCTCAGATTCTGCAGGTTCAGATGGTTCTGCTGAACCTGTGGATGTCAGCTGATGAAGCTGCTGATGAATATTTGAAGCTCCATCACGTTACCTGCTCTCAGGCAGCCAGGTGCTCCACATCACGTCCTCTGAGACCCAGAGGCGGCTGCTGATTGGACGACACGCTGACGTGTGTGGCCTGATTTCAGTGTGTGTGTGTGTGTGTGTGTGTGTTCATGAATATTTGAACCTACAGATTCTCAGTCCTTCACTCTGTGGATCAAACAGCCTTTAAAGGTACAAATGTAAAGAAGATGAAACACTTGAGGTGATTTCTGATGTCAGGAGGCAAAATTAAAACCAGAGAACATTAATAAATATAAAATAAATATCAAGTAAAAGCCGCAGAAACTTGCTGAACTCACAGAAGAAATAAAACTTTAACTAGCTGTTCTAAAAACAACACAAAAATAGTTTTAGAGCTCAAACTCTGAGTCCGTCCATCAGAATAAACCTCCAGAGATCCACATAGACCAGACGGGAAGCCGCTTCAGATCTCCATCAACAACATTTTACTACTTTAACTATAAAACCTTTGACAGCTGGTTAAGGCAAGAGGAACTGGCTTAAATAGGTACATGTCTAATTAATTAATGTTCTGTTATAGTGAATCAGCAGGAACTTTATATTTCTGGTTGTTATGTGTGAAACTGTGTGAAATTTCCATTAAGTGTTCAATATTCATCATTAACTCATTATTATAAATTTACAGCATAACTTAGGTCAGTAAATTAAAATTGTAACATTTAATTGATTAATTTTCCTATTTTCATAATTTTCTCTCTTTTACTGATTATTTAATAAGCTCAGATTTTATTTTTATTATATATTTTCTATTATAATTTCATTTTTATTGTCAAAATTTCGACTTTTTTGACTTATTATGTTAAACTTTTGACTATATTATTTTTTCTAACATATTTACATTTTTAATGTCATCATTTAAATTTTACTATAGTTACATTTTAAATAACCTACTTTTTAAATTAGAATTCTTTAAATTAAATCATTTCAACTTTTGAAGTAATAATTTTGACTCTTCCTTTTACTGCTTTAACGTTTTGTCTCAAAAATGTCATTGTTTCATTGTTTTAATTTTTATGTCATCATTTTGACACTTCAGGTGATGTTTTAAATTTAACCTTTTAATTTAAAATTGGATTTTCATATTTTAATGTCCACCTGAACCCCACTTTCAGCCAGAAATATCGAATCAGAAACGCAGCCGACTAAAAATCTAATGTGATCAAAGTTTCCCTCAGTAGTGATTTTTAATTAATTTAGTTTAATAGCTGATGATAGCAGGAAGTGATTCTGAGTTTCAGACACAAACTAAATTCAGGCGACGCTGATGAAGGATTTAATAAAAATCATTCACAGGGAAGCTGAAATGAGCCATTTTACAGTAAGTGAAAGGATCATTATTACTAAATGATCAATATCTGATCATTTACACACACAGAAGTCACAATTCATTTACTGATGATTCTTCAAAAACAAGAAAAAAGCATCTTATTGATTTGCAGATTAGAGTTGAAGCTAAGAGTTTTCAGTCGATGTTGAGCGTCTGTGCTCATTTAACTCATGTTTAATATTATTTTTGTCTTTAACACATTTTGCTGATTCTCAGGTTCAGACCACTGAGACGTTAAAGCAGCTCGACTTTGGTTTTGCTTCACAATTAGCTCTAATGATTCTTGTCTTACTTCTCTGTGAATAAAAAAGAAGAAATGAAATAAAGTTATTTCAGCAGAATGACAGAAGCGCAGCTGCATTAGGACATGAATCAGTGGTACATAGGACACCAGCGCCTCCTGGTGGCAGGAGGCTGAACTGCAGCCTGACAGGGTTTAAACATCTGAACACAAACTGATCTGAAGTTCTGCTGCCAGACTCAACCAAAAAACACAAGGATTTGGAGGTAAAAGCGTTTCATTATAATGTCAAAAAGGAAGACAGATCAAACCGGTACAGGGCAGGAAGGTGAAAGAGGTGACAAGTAGGTGTGTTAACACCTGGTTAGTTCTGCTCTCATGTCTCCACCGTCACTGAAACTGTGAATATTTGACTGGAGTCTGGTTCTACAGATATCTGTGCAGCCACAGGACTGAGTCTGGTCCTCTGAGCAGTGGATCTTCCTTCCAGACTCTCGCCGTGTTCCGGGTGGTTCTGGCATTAAATCAAACACCTGCTGCTGTGTTCAGGTGGATCGAGTGGACCGGACGCCTCCCAGTCTGACCAGCAACAACAGTCCCAGCTCGGTGGTGGATCTGGGCGCCGGGCGGTACGGCATCTTCATCACCAACAAACACCTGCAGGCGTCCGACCCGGACAGCAACACCGAGGAGCTGCAGTTCTCCATCAGCAGGCCGC